CCTTACGACCCACTCCGCCCCCTCCCTCTCTCCCCCACCCCCTCAATACCCAGCAGAAACTATTTTGCCCTTATCTCTAATTTTGTTGAAGATAGAGTATAAGCAATAATAGGAAGGAAAAAGGGTTTTTGCTGGTTGAGATAAGGATAGCTATACAGGGAGTTGACTCACATTAATTTCCTGTGCATATGTGTTGCCTTCTAGGTTAATTCTTTTTGATCTAACCTTTTCTCTAGTTCCTGGTCCCCTTTTCCTATTGGCCTCAGTTGCTTTTAAGGTATCTGCTTTAGTTTCTCTGCGTTGAGGGCAACAAATGCTAGCTAATTTTTTAGGTGTCTTACCTATCTCTCACTAACTTTTTTGCCTGGACTGGCCTCATACTTCAATCCTCTGATCTCTGCTTTCCACAAAACTGAGATTATAGGCATGAGCCACCACACCTGGCATAGTACCACATCTTTCTTCTACAGGACTATTTTTAACATTTCTTCTAGTGTGACTGTACTGCTGATGAATTATTTCAATCTTGTGCATCTGAGAAGTCTTTATTTTTAAAATATATTTTCACTCCATAAAGAATTCTAGGCTGGTAGATTTTTTTAACCTTTTTTTAAATGTTATCTTCCATTTGCATTGTTTCCAGTAAAAACCTGCTCGTATCCTTACTTTTGTCACTTTTGCAGTATTCTGAGCACACCATCAGATTAAATTTTTGCAGTCAAAGGTAATGATGTTTTCCCTTAGAATTTCTTCCTTTCCATTCTTCTCAAAAAACAGTGTCCCCTAAATTCAACTCCACTAAGTTCATCTAGCAAAATGTCAGAGCAGCTTTTCTTCAGGCAGATTATACTCTTAATCCAACTGTTGTTTTGTTGTGTGGAGATCAGAATATTATCTGTGGCTGATTTCTGGAATTCACCCAGGTCAGAAGCTCTTCTGAAATCTTGATGGCACAACACCTGGCCCCATCCCAGTCAGGTCTGTGTGGACTTACTGCCCTGGGTTTCCCATAAAACAGAATTGATAAGCTATTTTTGATGCTGTCCTATCGTAGCTTCTGTCTTTACCTCCATCCCAGCATCAGCCTGTTCACAAGTGTGTCAGCACTTATAAAACAGTCCAGCATAATTCACGCAAAGTCACCTGAAGCTGAGCTCACTAAACAGCTTAGAGTCTATAAATAGGAAAAATATTTTGGCCTCTACTCGTAGACATCTAGTTGTTATTCCTCAAGGAATTATACCTATGATCTTGAAGGTTACACAGTGGGTCCGGGTATGTTCCATATGTCCCTCGGGGGGACTAGCTGATTAATCAGGCCATGCTCTTTTATTGGTATACCTACCACATAGGCATGTTTGAAGTCTTTGCTCACATCACCTCTGCTCACATTCCATTGGCCAAAGCAAGTCACATGACCAAACTCAACCCAGTGGGGTAAGGAAGTATATTCAGCCTATGGAAGAGTGAATAATTTGCCAAATCATAATCCAAACTATTAGACCTGGCTTCCATTGGGCTCTAAGTGCTTGAAGACCATAACTCTCAAAGTCAGATCTCAATTCCAACTGTGAAAGCCACGTTTGTTTTGTTTTACTTTGTTTTGTTCTTTGAGATGGGGTCTCACTGTGGTGCCCAGGCTGGTCTCGAATTTCTGAGTTGAAGCGATCCTTCTGCTTCAGCCTCCCACGTGCTAGAATTATAGGAATGTACTACCACATCCAGTGAGAAATAATTTTTAAGAAAGGTAACAGGCATGGAGACCTTAAATGATGTTCCTTGACTCACATCAAAATCACAAAGGTGAAATAAAATTCATCTCTTAAATCCCTCCAGGTCCCGCTCAACTCTATGACACAACGAAGATAACCAAACAACCTCCAACACATTTGGCAATTTCACTATGGATTCCCTAGCTCACACTTTTCCTTTGCTTAGAGTTTGCCCTCTGCTTCTTTTCCCCTCTCTACATTCAAGTTCTCTTTCAGGATCCTGCCTGCATCTTTTTTGTTGTTAACTAAAAAGATGGGCATTTTTAAAGAGTGATGGTTAAGAAATTTGGGGGTTGACGCCAGCTCTACCTACCATGACACTGAGCAAGTTCTTCCCTTGACTAAGCCTTGGTGTTTTCACTTTTAAACAGTAATAAACCCTGGGACTTTGTGAAGATTTATAAAAAGGAAATGTTTGTATATTCTTAGGGCATAAAGAATGAATAATTAAATAGGAATTTAAAATAATTTCTTCAGCTAGTTATGAAGCTGGGCACCAGTGGTTCATACCTGTAATCCTAGCTACTTAGGAGGCTGAAATCAGAAAGATAGTGGTTCAAGGCCAGCCTGGGCAGGGAGTTCACAAGGCCCATCTCAACCAATAGTTGGGCACAGTGGTGAGTACCTAGCAACCCAAGCTAATGGCAGGCTAAGATGGGGGGAATCATGGTTCTAGGACACACAGGCAAAGTTCATGAGATACGATCTCAGTAGAAACATGCTGGGCATGGTGGCACATGTCTGTCATTCCAATGTCAACAGGAAGCTTAAAATAGAAGAATCACAGTGCAGCCTGACCTAGGCAAAAAGTGAGACCCTATCTCCAAAATAACCAGAGCAACAAGGGCTAGAGGTGTGGTGCAAGTAATAAAGCGCCCGCCAAGCAAGCACGCAACTCTAAATTTAAACCTCAGTTCCACCAAAAAAAGAGAAATAAAAGCTAGTCATGAACTCTCCTTCCACTGAGTTCCTAGGGTACTTAATTCAGTTCAATTAAGCACTGAGAGATTTTAGGAACCAGGAATTCTCATCTCAAATTGGGACAGGCAGGTATCATAAAAATGTAAGGGAACCTGTAGCATCATTAATATTGGTGTCATTTTTTCTCACAGACCCATATGTTTGCATGTTAAAACATACAGGAATATTCTTCTTTCACAAAGAAACATATTTTCTCCAGAGGTTATATTCAAAATATATAAAAGCTAATCTTCATTCTGAGTCCCCATTCGGATGTCTCTTGACTGTGGTACTGCAGCAGAGTCCAGCTGGATTGGGAGGAATTAGGGGAGGATACACAGAAGTGCCCAGGGTAGAGGACAGCACACAGGGACTTCAGTGATGGCCACTGTGGGCAGTGTTTCTTAATTGGATATGCCAAGTGAATGTCAGCATTGATTCTCTCCCGTTGTTTTTTAAATATACCGTCTTCTTGGCCTATATGTTGTGTTCCTGCTTTTTAATGGAAATATGAGCACAAAGAAATCACAGTCTTCTATAAGATAATGCCCCATCTAAAGTAAGCAGCTCTTAGCTCCAGCCAAATATTACTTGATGCCAGTTAGAACTTCTCATTTTTCAAGAGAAGTCAGAAATGCACATTTTTGTATTGAATCTTTAATGTAGGCTCAGTGATTTTTAAATCACTGTACAGGCTAAACATGGCCTCTGGCCTATAGAATGGATACTGATAGCTGGCATTTCAAGAATTCAGAGATGTGAATTCTGCCCTGAAGGGACAGGCAAACAGACAAGTAATAGATAACTTTATAGTTGGATGAACTAATTTGTATAACTAGTAATGAATTCCACCAAACTATGGATTCTATGACCCACTATCCTCAGCACCAAATGCCTTACTCATAATTGATTTATTGCTGAAGGTCTCTTGCTTAATCTGTACACATGAACATATGACAACCTCCATGTTACAGCCATTTCAGTTAAATCGTCATCTCTGCAAAATCCATGTTGCAGTCAGTACCTTGCAAGGAATAAACCCTTCTGGAATTGAACGAACTTGATCTGTTATGCAGTAGTTAGTTAAAGACACAGACCACATTCAAGAACAGAGCAGAATAAAATGTAAAACTGCAGGTACTTCCTTGGGAGACCCATCTGGGAAATCAAATTCAGAAGTCTGCTATGACTGGCACCTTATTCTCAATCTTTATACTCAGTGCCAAGGGGGCTTCTGGGTACTCCCTGAACCAAATGAAATACAAAGGCAGAGACCAAAATTCAATTTCATTATTGTGCTGGAAAATAAAATCTATTGTAATTTATTGCCTTTGAAAAATACAAGAATACATAGAAAATAGACATGATACCAATAATAAGCAGTTATAAGGAAGGATATGGCTATAAAACAGAATAAGAAAAGTTTAAAACTGGAAGATTTCGTCTATATAATAAATCATTTTTTAAAAACCTCTTTTCCTCTGTTAGCATAGCAGGATCATTCAGTTTTACCCAAGTAGACAAATGTCTATATATCACCTCCCTTGATAATCAAGGTTGGATTTTTGCCAAGTCTGGTGGTACATGCCTATAATCTCAGCTTTCAGAAGGCAGAAGTAGGAGGATTGTAGTCTGGAGCTAATTCCAGGCAAAAAGCATGAGATCCTATCTGAAAAATAACTAAAGCAAAAAAGGACTGGGTATGTGTCTCAAGTGGTAGAGTGTTTACCTAGCAAGCGTAAGGTCCTGGACTCACAACCCCAGTGTTGCCAACAAAAAAAAAAAAAAAAGCGGGGGTTGGATTTTAATTGATTCTTTTATTTAAAAAGTAGCACACACTCATTGAAGGAAAGATTTCAAACGTGTATAAAATTTTTCTATAAGTTCCCTCCCATATCCCTAGTCCCTTCTCTCAACCATTCTAGTTCTCCAGTGTAATGATGACTAATAATTTGGTCAGTTTCCTTTCAGGCCTTTTTTCTGCTCATTCTGAATACATCCATATGCTTGTATATGGCTCCTCTTTCCCCACTCCCAAAACCTTGGAAATATACACTATACTGTTCTGCAGCTTAATTTTTTCTTTCCTGATCAGTCAGTTCACATGCTGATCTATACTATTCACTTTTAAGACTACTTATTATTTTATAGTTTTGCTATATCATACTTTTATAGCCATTAATATTGTCTCCAGTTTTCCACCATTACAAATACTGCTGCAGTAAATACCACCGGTTTAGACTTTAATTTACTTTTTAATTTTAACAGGGCTGTGGAAACTGAAGTCATTGCAGAATTTGGATCTGTCATTCAACGAAATACTGCAAATTGGGTTGTCTGATTTTCATAACTGCTTGCAACTGGAGAACATCTATTTAAAGAGCAACAAGATTTTTAAAATTCACCCAGAAGCCTTTAAGGACCTCAAAAAATTACAGGTTCTCACATCATTTTTATACTATCTTAAATATGCTGATATATAGGTAATTATACTAGAAGACTGTTTCCATTAAAAAGGTTCTCCAGGTCCAGTTGTCCTGTTTGTTAATCAAAACATGTAAGCCTTTTATAAGATCCCCTAAAAGAGCCAAAGCCTCTTTCTTGCCTCAAAAATCAAAGGCCACAGTAATGGACATAAACATAATTCTCAGCAGCAAGAATTGGCACATTATTTCTCTAAATTGAAGTCCAACTCCAAGTTTCCACTTACTAGTTGGCAAGAAACTAATTGTTATTTGTGAGGCTGTCTCCCTAGGCTGCAGGATCAGTCAAAGGTCCCAAGGATTATGCAGTCTGGAACACTTAGGGAGGTCCCTGGGAACCACTCTGGCCAATGCTGAGATGTCAACAACTCAGGACTGTAGGGCTGCAGGCCAGTGACCTTGTTGGTTCCATGCTTAAAATGGACATGGGAGAATAAAAATGAGATGGAAACATGCACACTTGTGTAGCGCTTACCATAGTAACCCCCCACCACAGTAAACCCCCTCAGCCACTCCAGTGTGGCATCCAGAAATGACCTGGGAGAATCTTGGTCATAACCTCTATCACCCACACCTGTTCTTTATACAGGTCAGTGTTGTTCAGTTGATGATGTGAACATGTAATTTTAAATGTTCTAGTTCTAGATTTAAAAAATAAGTAAATTTCATTTTAGTCATATATTATTTAACCCAATAGGTTATCTTTTACACATGTAATTTATATAAAAAATGCTAGCAAGATATTTTACATTCCCCTTTTCATGCCAAGTCTCCAAAACCTGTTGTATATTTTACATCCCGACATGAACTACTCACATTTAATTGCTCAATAGTCACATCGTGGCTAATAGCTGTCATATTAGGCATCATAGACACAGACAGCTGCTGTTTTCCTGGTGTTACGTGAAGTGCTGTTGAAGCAACCTGCAAGTTTCTAGTTCTCCCCCTTCAATGGCTCCTGAGCCCTCCTCCACCAAAGGGAGCTAGGGAAGCAGTGGGGGGACTCTGGAGCTTACTGCTGGGTTCCAACCTAGGCCCTGCCGCTTTCTAGCCACACTATCTTGGCAAGTTACCAGATCTCTCTGTGCCTTTTTTCCCATTTGTGAAACAGAGACAACTCAGCTCCTGACTCAGTACTTGGATAGAGTAAATTCTTTGTACATATAACCTGCATATAGAATTTTTAAGTGGCCATAGTGCCCTGCTCTTTTAATATACATCTCTGATTGTGCTACTGATTGGTTAAAACACGTCCAAGATTGCATGGCCAGAGCCTTGTTCCTGCCTGTCTCTTCAGCCTCATCTCAAGCCACCCTCCCCTGGCTCACTGCTGTCCTGTCTGTTTTCACCTCAGGCCCTCCCTACTTACTGATCCTTTACCTGCAAGAACTAACTGGTATTAATCCTTCCTGTTTGGGGCAGTTGCCACTTTCTCAGAGAATTTCCCTTGGGACTCCAGATTGAATTAGTCCCCCTTTTTGGATACTAATAATGGGGTCTACCTTTTTCCTCATTGCACTTATCCCAAAAAGAATGATTTAGCTTTGGGTATGCTAGTTGCATAGCATGCAGAGCTATGCCCTGCATGTCCTCTTTGAGGACACACAAAGATTGTCTTCTTTGTGTCTGTTTTGTTTTCTGATGTTTAGCTAATAAGACACATTTAAAATTACTTGTTGAATAAACAAAGGAATACATGAAGTTCATGAATAGTTGCATTATTTGTCTATTGCTGCATAATAAATCACCACAGCTTAAAACCACACACATCTATGACCTCACAATTTCTGTGGGTCACCCAAGACCTCCACTTCAGGGTCTCTCCAGAAGCTGCACCAGTGTTGGCTAAGGCCACAGTCTTCCCTGAAAGTCCAGCTGAAAGAGGGTCTCCTCCCAAGTTTGCCTGCTGTTGGCAGGACTTACTTCCTTATTGGACAGTTGAACCTGAGGCTCAGCTCCTTGCCAGCTGTTGGCCTAAACCTCCCCTCAGGTTTCTGCCCTGTGGTCTCTCCATAGGGCCATCCATGACCCTGTACTGTAGCTGGCTTCAGAGCTAGCAGGCCAAAGAACCTGCTGGCAAGATGAGCATTTCTATTTTATGAAATATAAGCACAAAAGTGACATCCCACTGTTGCAGTACATTGGGGACAAATGATACTGTCTGACTGCCACAGTAGTTACTAGAACAGAGGAGAAGGCCCACTTAATTTCACCAGTGACAGATTGTCAAAGTACTGGGGAGCCTCATTTAGTGCACAGCATACTGACTGTAATACAGTTGTATATAGAATTTGCCCTATGTCTGTTTTACTTCCTGTGCACATTTATTGTTCTTTATGAGTCTTCTGCAGCTCACAGGTAAAGAGATGCCACAGGCAAACTAAAAACCAAATCTGAGAATGTTTTTAATACAGTTGTAATTCTCAATTCACTGGAACTGCCAACCACCATACAATTTCTCTTTCCCTAATATGCCTTCTACCTGCTTGGCAATAACTAAAAACTGACTTTCGAACGTGATGAACATACTTGGTACCAGAAAGCTGAATATCACAATGGATGTTGTTTTTCTTCTAGAAGATGAATTTAATACTTGCACCATTCTATGTGTCTTCCCAAGTGGAGGTCTTTTCTGAAGCCAGATAGATTTTTCAAAGCATAAATTCATCATCATGTTTGAAGGGAATAAAATAATTTTCCTTGACATTTCAAATTAGCATTTCGTTTTTCAATCATATCTCATTCCTCTTAGATGTGTGATTTGTGAAGCAATATTATATGCTTCTCCCAATCCTTCCCAATCCCTTTGAAATTCTTGTACATGGGTATTTCTTTAGCCAAGACTATACTGTTTTAATATTTTCTCAGAAATTACTCTTCCTGAATCATTTTCTTTCTTCCTTCCAGTTTTGCTTTCACTTCCATTGTATTAGTTTTACCATTACTGTGAACAAATACCTGACAAACAACCTAAAGGAGGAAGGATTTATTTTAGGTCATGGTTTCAGAGAGTTCAGCCTATGCTTGCTTTAACCCTTCACTTGGGCAGAACATCATGGTTGTGGGACCCTGTGGCAGAAGAGTTTCTTCATCTCATCACAGACAGGAAGCAGAGGGAGAGACAGGAAATGCAGGGACAAGATACAAGATGCCTGCAAGAACCCACCCTCCTCCAGTTAGATTTCACCTCCTAAAGTTTACATAACTTCCAAAATAATGCTGCCAGCTGGGGAGCTAGGTTTTAACACATAGCCTGTGTGGGGTATTTTATATCTGAACCATATCATCCATGATTTGTAATATAAGATGAAAAATTCACTAAAAAAGAAAATAGCTACCAGAAAACCACCAGAATAATTCAGTCTGTTGTTGAGGAAGAGTAATACATAAGAAAGCTACTGATTCTAGGCAAAGCTGGCCAAAGTGAAGCATTTTTTCCTCCCAATCCCAGTCTCCTACTTCCTATTTTTAGCAACCTACCTGTGCAAGTCAAGACTGCTTGACTACTCAGCACAGAAAAGGCCACCCTCTCTACCTAAGTTCCCCCCAAATTAAAATTCTACTCCTGGTGGTTTTGTTTGTGGTGCTATTGTATTGTTTGAGTTATCTCTTCTTAGGAATTTACAAAAACTCCAAAATGTAAATGCTAATTTTTCTCTGATGTTTATAAAATAATTGGCCTTGGTAATATTCACCTTTTCTGATTTTCACCCATGGTTCTCTTTTGTTAAAGCAAAGTTAGCATTTTCTCTCTTATGATTTTTCTCTTCTCCTATAACCAGCAGCCACTCCTCAAATGCCATGCCCCCACCCTGGTGTCTCATGCCCCAGACCTCCTCCCCATTAGTGGAACACTCACTTCACTCTAGTGTGATGGCTGAAAGAGCGTGTGTTCTGCAATGAAGGCTCTGAAGCCAGACCAGATCACAACTGTGACATTCCATTCATTCATTTATTCTTTACTCAGTATCTGCTCAATACCAGGCCCCTGTACTAAGATCTATGTGAAACATACTATGTGGCTTGGTCCAACTTCTTACTCTAAAAAAGGGGAACTGTGGAAGTTGTTGGGAGAATTTGAGATAATACATGTAACACACCCAGCAGAGTGCCTGGTACAAGCAGTGCTCTGAAAATGGTAACTACAGCCACACCGAATTATGCTTTCCCTGCATATTGTGCCACTGCTGTGTCCACACTTCCTGCTCTGTGTCTCTAGAGTCATGAATCGTTTTTGTTCCCTAGTCTCCCCACCACCTGCATTTCTGATTAGGTTAGAGAAATTAGTCATCTTGCAGGTACTAAATAATGGCCATGGATACAAAGAAATGCACTACTCTCCTTGAGATAATATTTGATGCAAAAGGTTTCTCTTTGCTACTTCTGGTCAGCCACATTCTCTGTGTTCTGTTTTCATCATTCCACATGTTCTGATACTTTCAACATCAGTGTTTCTAGAAATTCTAGAACTGGATACAATTCTAGACCTTGATAGCACAGGAGTCCAGGATTTTTTTTTAACAGTACAAATTACAAATCATAGGAAAGAAATGAGGACAATGTTTGGGCACCTAATATAGGTTTAAAGATTTCACATGCATTTAATCCTTATAGCCACCATGAGAGGTGGACTCACAGAATGTAAACCGTTTGCAAGACTCACAGAAGTTTTAGGGATAGAGCGAGATTTAAACCCAGTATTCTCTAATTTTCAAACCAGTTCTAAATTCTTGTTGTTTCCATAGAAATATAAATATCTTTCTGTAACTTATTTAGTCTTGCTCTATAATGGCTCTGTTCACAGATTCTCCTAAATTTGTTTCTTCTCAAGCAGGTTGTAGACCTCAGTAACAATGCTCTAACCACCATCCTACCAATGATGATCATTGCTCTAGAATTTCCTCATCTAGAGGTTGACTTGGGTGATAACAAATGGCAATGTGATGATAGCATGGGGGTCTTCTATACTTCCATTTCTGAATCTTGGAGAGAAAAGTGGGATATAATTTGCAACAAGTCTGAAGGTAAGTCAGCAGTGCTTCTTTTCTTTGAACTGGTTTAATTTAAACTGAAATATAAGAATGTAGTCTCATTTGAAACCAGGGCAATCTCTCTAAAAGCAAGAGGGCTGGTTCCTAGCATTACTCAGCCTTGAGCTAAGTCATTGAATAATCATTGGTGCCCTACTGGTACCAATTCTTCAGTTCATGGATGATTTTCTTCACATGGCCAAAGAAGCTTAGTTCAAATCCCTAGGAATCATGTGAATTTAGTCAAAAACATAAATTTCAGTAGAAGAAAATTTTGCCTGAAGTCCCAAAATGTCACAATTCATCCAAATTCTTAACAATTGATTAAAGAAAGAATTTTGGACCAGTCATGCTGATGTATGCCTATGGCCCCAACTACTCAGGAGGTAGAGATAGAAGGATCATGGTCCAAGGCTGGCCTGGGCAAAAGTGTGAGGCTCAATCTGAAAAATAAACTAAAGCAACAGGAATGGGGAGTGGCTCAAGGGGCAGAGTGCTTGCCACGGAAGCAGAAGGCCCTGAGTTCAAACCCCAGCACCCACAAAAACAATTTCTAAAAAAACTTAAAAAATCTGAAACGTATTTTAAATGTTTGCTAACCCTATGAAAGTGTGTCTTCTACATACACAAAACAAAGACATTTTCATTTTGTTTTGTTTTTGTGATAGTAGAGGTTGAACTCAGGGCTTCGCACTTGCTAGGCAGGCGCTCTACCGTTTGAACCATGCTGCCAGCCCAACACACATTTCAAAGTATATTTTCCATTGACTTATTCTTTGCCCCCACACCTCTCTCAAGTATATTACTGTAGTTGAACATTCTGGGAAGATTTTTTTCCACTATTAACTGTCTTGAAAAAAAAGTCAGATTAAAAATAAATGAGTCCTAGACTCAGTCCCATTCAGGACTACCATTAAGTAGAATCATGGCCATGCCTATTAGATTTGGAAGAAATGCACAAAGAGCAGAGGGAGACCTGAAGGTTGTCAGTCACACTTGCTTTGCTCCTTTATACGAGCTACACTGGCATTTCAACAAGTAGAGCGCAGAAGGAAAAACAAATGTTTTACTGATTACCAGCACTGGGGAGTGGGGAGGAAGCAATTCTTTAAACCTGGGGAAGGCAGAGGCAGGTTTTATGAGGTCTGATGGAATATTCTAGCAAATATGAAGTAGTTGAGGGCATAGGGGAAGAAGCAATGTGGCTGCCCCCCAGTCTGGCTTCTTCCTCTCATTGACAGTTGTTAGACAGGAAGCCTAAGAAAGACAACCTTTGGGCCTATAAGCAGCAGATCTATGCCTGACAGCCATGTGTACATGTGCTCAGAGCCATATACATACTGTTGGCATTAGACAAGAATGAATGAATGAATGAATGAATGAAGAAAAGCTACTTGGCACCAGGTAATAAACACTTGAATGTAACTAAATAAGGACTCAGAGAAGCTTTGAAAGTCCCTAGAATCTTATTCAAGTCTGCTCAGTGTGTGTTTTTTATCTCCTACTTGCAGGCAACAAAGAGGCATATTCAGAGACTCCCAAAAGCAGAATTTCCAGGGAGACGCACCTTCTTCAGACTAATCTGAAACACATGAAAAGCCTCATAAGGAGCAAAGCAGAGAGGGCGGGAGAAGGATTGTATTTGCACTTTTCTCCTGTGGGAATGGAGGTGCATGCTGGCTCTCATCTCAGAGAGATACAGGCACAACGGCCAAGACAGGGCAGAAACACCCAGGATGAGCAAGCCACTGACAGAAAGGACAATGATTCCCCAGACCTCACCTTGGCCGTTTGTCTATCTGTGTTCATCACATTCATAGTGGCTTTCTTTCTCGGGGCTTTCACCAGGCCCTGCATTGACAGACTGTGGCAACAAAGATGTGGTAACAAAAACCCTGGTTCCAACAACACCTATTCAAATGAGGGCTTCTATGACGAATTTGAAGCTGCAGGCAGCATACAGCACCCAAGGACAGATCTGCGCCAAGCTTTCCACCATCAAATTCTCTATGAGAACCAGAACTCTTCCTGGGTGACAAAGCCAAACCTGCATGCCTCCATCATTCCTGATGAGACTCTAGGAAATAGTAGAAAGGAGCCTAGTAGTTGGCAGAGCTCAGAGCAATGTGGAGACAAAATCAGGGCAGGAAGTAGAAATGACAATGGGCTTTCAAATGGCCATGCAGCCCATTCCACTCTCCACAGGCATCCAAAGGCTGATGATCATGAACTAATTTCAGCAGCACAAGACCACACGTATAGCAATGATATTCTCAGGGAATTAATTTATGACTCTGTGGCCCAGGAATATTCTCTCCCTGAGCACTCAGTGGGTGTCTCTTCTGTAGCTGGTACATTTCAAACTGTCTCTGACTCCACCTATAATGATTTAAATGAATTAGACCCATCACACTTAAGAGAAGTGGCAGCTGTCCTCTCCAAAATGCCAACACATTCAAATGCACAGGGTGCTATAGAGAGTAAGGAAAGAGGGCACCCTGAACACTCACCTTTGGAAACCACCAGCTCACAGGTGGAATTTTCCAAGGAAATGCAGGTGAGAAATTTCATCAGCTCACAGGGTGCACAGCAGCCAAGGCTCCAGGAAGGTGGAGAAGAGCTTCCAGCTTCCTGCAGTACAGTCCTGCATGGTGACCCCGGAGCTGCAGACCCATCCACCCTTCCACCAAGTTGGCACAGTGATTTCCACGTCACTCCTGCTACTGAGGAGCCAGTGCAGAAAGATGCTACTTCTGACTTTCAGTACAACTTGGAGATGGACTATGATTCTGATGAAGGGTCTTTGTTTACCCTCAGTTCAGAGGAGTCAGAGGGTAGAAGGAGTGTGACTGAAGAAGAGGCACATGGTGAAGACAATGGCGGAACCAGCCAGCCTCTTCAGGTAGAAGACTTAGGGGAACACAAGGACACTGTGAAATCAGTGGAAAGTCTTGACGACAACATCACCTTGCAAAGGATTCTGGGGACATACGAAACTCTAGAAGATCACTTTGGAAAACCTCTCATTTCTGGTCCAGACTCTGGTTTGTATGAGACTCGCCTGGAAAATGCCTCTAACACCAGTGACGCCGAGGGCCCTTTGGTCTGGCCCAGGTTCCTGGGCAATAGGCCTTTAAGTGATGAGGCTTCAGGGGTAACTGTTTATGATTATGACAAAAGTCTTCAACCCGGGGCAGTGGAATGGCATAACTCACTGAGAGACCTACTGTTTTCAAACATGGACATTTTGCCACCGACACCACCACATTCTGCTGAAGATCCCTCAGATCCTGAGGAGACTGCCACAGAAAGGACTTAGACATTTTTAAATATGAACCTTTCATTCAGGGACTAAATGTTCCTCAGAAGGATAGTGCTTCAAGATCAATAGAGAGGAAAACTGAAGACCCCCACAGCAAGATTCTCAAGGGAGGACCTAGATTCCAACCAGGTGGACACTGATGTAAATGAGTTTATATATTACTAGAGAACTGACTATGATTCTAGAAATTCCAAGCACTGTTGTTAGAATCCTGGGGTGGTGAGCTGACCTGTCTGGGTGGGGCAATATTTTGAAGACGGTTTTAAGAACCAAGTGCTATCATTATAAGAGCTTACAAATAAACTCAGTTCACTAAAACACAGAGAACTTCAGTGATAATAAATGAAGGTAAATATTCAAGGGAGAATCTATTGCAGGAAGAAAAAGAGGATTCTTTTATGCTCAAACGAGGTCCAGAGAGATCTGATGGGAGTTGGCTGTGTATGTGAAAAACAGCTCCACTGTGACAAAGACGTTCAATTTGAGTGTCAAAGAGAATTCAAATGACATTTTTAGTATCTATTGAAGCACTTACGTGACAATGCTGAAAAGAGTTTAATGAATTCTTCATAAAGACTAGCACTACTTTTTGGAGATTGATCATGAGACTGCACAATTGGAAGGATTCAGAGCAGTTCTAAGTATTTTTAACAGGTTATGTGAAAAGAGAAGAGGAACCATTTTCTAGAATAAAATGTAAATTAAAAATCAATTTTCAAGAGAAGAAGTGATGTTTTCTGTGCCATTATTCTTGACAAGCCCTTTCTTCATATGACTCCCCATTTTGTCTCTCATGAGCTATTCTGTTTGTCCTCCTCCTTCTTTGATGTTTTCTCACTTTGCTTTCTGACTTTCTTTACTTGTACTCTTAAAGGCAGTATTCCTCCAGGATTTCTTCCCACTCTTCCTTATGACCCCTTTGCCAACACTGAAAATAGTAAGGAAATAAATTGCAAGACAGGTTTTGTAGGGGGCCAATGGAATGTTCTGGCAAACGTAGGCACCACTACTTCACCAACCAGCTCAAAACAGATGATACAGATCTACATATTCCTTAGTAGATCTTTAGTGTGATCTTTAGTATTTCTCTTTGCCCCACTCATCCCCAATTCATCATTCTTGTGTCCAATTCATCCACTCTACTGCTCAGAAACCTTTGATGATTAAAAAAAATTATTTGATGGCTCCCATTGTCTATATAAAAACCAAATTCCATAATCCTACTTTTCCAGTTCCAGCTCATGAGATTATCACCTTACCATGTATTCTATTCTAGTTTATATTATTTACATTAGTTATTAATGCATTTCTTTCAACAAATTCTTGAGGCCCTTTACTGGACCACTGATCAAACTCTCCCCCACTGCTCACAATTGATACATTAAACATTCACTGACCTTAAGTTTTCACTGAGAAAATTTAGGCTATAAGGAAAAAATTCCTTCAGTCTCCTACCTATAAATATGTTTATATCAATATCTATCCTTATTCTTCCCCTCCAATCTAAGAAGAAGAAAAAAAATTTTTTTTTTGGTCAAGGATAACCCCTCCAGTCTGCTCTGTCTGCAGTCCACTCGTTCATGTTTCCCATTATGGCCCTTCCAAGCTCTGGGTCCTTCCCAGAGTCTGTAAGCATGCTCAAGGCCTTTCAGTACTAAAATTAAAGGAACCACCATCCAAAGGCTCTCTCACAGTACTCTTTTCTCTCTCATAGCTAGACTATGGTCAAAGACTCCCTATTGACTCTTAAGCTCATTCTTCTAACCTGTTACCTCAGTGGTCACCTGCATCTTCTAATTGCCACATACAATGGACTCTCCAGTCTTTGCCAATGAAAGTATCTCCAACAGTTGACACCCTTGGTCACCCCCACGTGGAAACTTTTTTCTGTGGCTTTTGTGATGTCAGTCTGTGAAGGGGAGAATCTATAAAGAAGGACACAGATGGCAAGAAACAGTGATGACTGGAGAGAGTTTAACAAAAGAACCATTTGCAACAATCCAAGCAGGATTAAAAGAAACTTGCAAGGGAACATGAGGACTTCAGGCTAATCACTCTTAAACATGAGAAATAAGGGGTGTTGCAGCTACCAGTTTGCCTAACAGGAGCTGCAGCCTTAACATAGTCACTAATGATGCCCAGTCTAATGGGAACAAGTCAGACTTTCTCTTCTCCCCTTCTAGTCTCCTGACACTGCCTTCAGAGCCTAATCCCTGGAAGCCAGAAGGCAAGAGAGTTAGTTGATGCTATCCACAGTGGTCAGCCTTCTGCAGGAAGGGGTAGAAAGAGAGTGAAGAATATTCTCCACACACTTATTCCTAGTTCTACTTCTTTGCTCATTTTTCCTCATACTCCTTTTCTCTCCTCTCCTCTGCTCACCAGAGATTGGGGCTTGACTCTCCTGTCTCTCACTCAACTCACTTTCCATGAGAGCTATCAGTCCTTATAGCTTTCATCACCACCTCATTGCTAATATTTCCTGTTTCTGTAACTCCAGCTTTGAAATACTTTACACATTTAGTTCCCTCTTGGACATCTCATAAGCGTTTCAATCCAGAAAGAAACTCATTAGCTCCCTAATCCTCCCCACCCATCAAATCTGAACCCCTGTGTTCTCATCTCACTATTTATCCAATTACTCCATCCAGAAACCTAGGAGTCATTCTTTTGATATTTTTGTCTTCACATCCCATATTACATGGATTATTAAGTACAGCTAATTCTAACCCCTAAATTTCTGTCAAATCTATTCCATCCTCTCTGTCCATACTGCCACAGCTTCAGCTGTCACCTTGACATGCTATTAGGTCTGTCCTAATAGTACCCCAATTGTTCTCTGCAAATTCTGTATTTGGGTTCTCCAGGGAAAAGGAACAAGTGGAATATGTATAGATATATAAAAATGACTTCTTATGAAGAATTGGCTCACATGATTAAGAAAGATGAGAAGCTGGAGGCCCAGAAAAGCCAGTATTCAAGTTCTATATCAAACTAGATCTAAGAACCAAGGAGCAGATGGTGTCAGTGCCAGTCTGAGGCCAAGAGCTCAAGACCCAGGAGCACTGATGTCCGAGGGCATGAGGAGGGAAGTTCCAGTTCCAGAAGAGAGAGAAAACCCCTTCCTCCTCTACATTTTTTGTTCTGTTTGGGCCCTCAATGGATTGAATGCTCTCTAGCCACATGGGGGAAGGTGGTCTTCTTCACTATGGCTACTGACTCAAATGCTAACCTCTTCCAGAGACACCCTCCAAACACCCAGAAGTACTATTTTGCCAGCTATCTGGATATCTCTTTGCCCAGTCAAATTGAAAGATAAAATTGATCACCCCTTACACCTCTCACATTATTAGTCAGGGGTAGTGTGATGCAGATTTGATCATGTACCATCCTGATTAATCTAGTGTAGGCTATTTTGATTCCCTAAAGCTCCATATAACTCTATCTCCTGGCTTTTGCCCATGTCACATCTACCCATGTCTCTTTCCAATCCAATCCAAACAAGCCTTCCACTAGCTGACTAGCTGCCACTTAGGTCTCAGCCTTATTGTCACTTCCTCAGGGATATCTTGGACCCTGGACTAAGTTAAAGTTCCCTATTATAAACTCTCATTTTACAACTTTGCTCTTTGCATAAGAGAGCTTATCACAAGTTCAATTAAATAGTTGAGTGATTATTGACTTAATATCAGTTTGCCCATTTTATACTGGAAACTCCATGAGAAGAAAATGAGTCTCTGTCCCCAAAAGCTGGCATGCAGTAGGTTCTCAATTCCTGCATTTATTGAATGAATAATGAAAAAGCAAACTCTTTAGTGCAGGACAAGGACATCCATGACTGGGCCCTGCTTGCATCTCCTGTGCTCAGCCCCATTCTGACATCCAAAATCCAAGCCAGCCATACCAAGCTGCTCACAGTGACAAACACACCAGCCTGTGTCATTCCACTACGCCATTGCCCAGTGCTGCTGCCTGCTTTCTGAGTTGCATATCTGGTGTCACTGCCAAGACCTGGCAAGTATCTATCTACTCTTTGTTCAAGACTCTGTTTAAGGTTCACCTCCTCCGTAGGTCTTTCTCTCCTCTTTCTACCCGAGTACAACTGGCCTTGTCCTTCCTTGAGCCTCCACTATACTGTTTGTGCATAGTGGAAGAAATGAGGCTTCGTGTGGCTTGACTGAGACCTACTGAACTCTTCGGTTACCCAACTTCTGACTGTTCAGTTCCAATGTGAAGTCTATGAAGATAACGTCTCAGAACTGGTAGTTATTCTTAAGGTGAAAAATTACTTTCTCTTCCATCAGCACAGAGAAAAAGCATAAACAGCCTTGACTATTTTTATTTGTTTGCTGGTTGGTCTGGCAGTAGGCATAAACATCACAGACACAGCAGTTAAGCAGCTCTATTCCTCAGCAAGCCGCCGGCTTTTTGTAGAACACATTTCAAAACCCCTTTCTCAATATGCCTGCTGTCAGCTTGGCTATGGTTGCTTAATGTAAATGAGATTTTTAAGGCCTACCAAGTCCAGATTTTCAAAATACCTCACCTTTTGGGTCTGTCTGAGATTGCCTCATGCTTTAAGCTACCTGAGTTCGACAAAGTCCCTTTTCCTCAGCTTTCCCTCTGTTTTACTTTCACTTACTTTGATTATGTCTCTAGCTCTGCTGTTATATAACTGGCCTTTAAAACATGCCTTACTTTTTATTCAGATAACCCTTTTTGCATTTCTTTGGCAGAGGAACTGAAACAAATTTTCATGAACCTAACAATTCTGTATCAGAATATTTTAGTCTAGGAAGCACTTTAAAAAAATCTCTGGTATAATTTTTCTTTTCATGTTTTAAAAACCATTAAGTAAGTCTTGGGCCAGTGACTAAAAACTCAAAATATGAAACATTAACATCTGGTTCTCTTTGAAGAGCAGCATCAATGAATTGTCTTTTTAGTGTTTCATCCTAGAAACCTTTCAGTTTCAATACAGTCATTTCGTGCTCAGATCAACAAAACTTTTCCCTAAACCAGGAGATAAGGGCTGGGCCCCCACCTCTCAGAAAGGTTTGGCCAGTTCTTTTCAATGACACACACAGGGCACGGGGAGAATCAAGAGAGTAACCAAGAATAGGCAGGAATGACTGCTAGAACCACCAAACAGCACGGAAATGCAAGCCAGCTGATGTCCACGTATGTCCAGCCTGTTTAAAATACAAAATCCACTCCTTTCAAGGTTACTAGTTTTCTTTGAAGTACTTTCAGACCCAAGGAAGATGGAAGCAGGAGGGATAGAAGATATCCTATGAATGGAAATTTTGGTGACGGTCACTAGTGCTTTCCCCTAGATTAATATGTTGTCAAGTAGATGTCAGACAGAGCAGATCTTACAAGCCTGGCTGCTAAGACATAAAGGGCCACAAAGGATCCCCTCTTTTTGTTGTCTGAAAATCTCATGCTCCTGAAAGGGAGGGAAAGACTAATGACCTGAATCAAGTTTCTACTTTACTGTTTCTCTACTACCTGAAAATTCTTGGTGATACGGGCAATGAAAATGTTTCTGAACTTTAAGACTTGGCAGACTCTCTTGATAATTCACCATGTAATACTAAATTATTGTCAC